CCGCAAACGAACTATACCAACCGAACAACCGCCTCTTCTAGGTGAAATTAGTGCAACCGCCTCTGTGGTCTAGCGATCAGAGTTCCTGGCTAGAGATCCAGAGGCCCGGGTTCGATTCCCTGCACTACCAGATTTTCTGACAAGTATATGGTCTGGAACGGGGTTCACTCAGCCTCGTGAGGATAACTGAGGAGCTAATTCAAGGAAATAGCGGTTACGGTCTAGAAAACCAAGATTGACGGTTGTGGTGATCCGTTGTGCTGACCAGGTGACAGCCTCTATCCGCAAAAGTTCGCGATTTCATATTAGTTTTCTTTTATTCATAATTGGCTGGGCGGCCTTCGTATTACTTACATACTTACTCATGGAGCTGAGTCCTTCTTGAGGATCCGCCAATTCTGCAGCTACTCAAGGGTTTACCAGCATTTTATGCAACCCGAAAATTCATTACCGTTTTCACAAGAGCCCTCCACTGATCATACGCCTCGGTCTTTCCAGTGGTCTCTTTCCTTCTGGCTTTCCCACCAATATCCTATATGAATTCCTCCTTTCTCCATTCGTACTACATGCCCTGTCCACCTCATCCTCCTTGACTTGATCATTGATTTCGTATTAAGCAATGCAAAAATTAAAATCACAGTTCTGGAGGATATGTGTAAGAAGTGTCCTAGAGACGCAAGCGCAGAAAGGATCAGGACGAGGAAGAAATTGGGAACAAAGAGTTGAACCCAGAACCCAAGTGAACGCGGTATCTACAGCGCGGCTTCAGTACGCGCTAACCATGCTATTGCTATCCCTTCCTGTCATTTTATGGGAACCGATGTTTTATTGCCTTGCTCACAAGAGCACGTTACTCTTCGCCTATACTGAGCTTACGTGAATTCAGTCTATAAACTCGCCCCGAATTCCTTTTATATCCATTCTAATATTATCGTCCCATATACGTCCAAAATTAATGGTGACCTCTTTCTTTCAAATTTTCGTACCAAAATTCTGTATGCGATTCTCCTCTCCTGTATATTTACATACCCTACCCATCTCATCGTCTTGGATTTAGTTCTTCTAATAACATTTGGCGAGCACTACAAATTATGCTAATTTTTTCCAGTCACCTTTTAATTTATCACTCTTACTTCGAAGTACCCTTCTAACCATCCTGCTCTCAGATACAGCCGGTATAAGCTTTCGTTAACCTGAGAGACAAAGTTCCATATCCACTCAAAATCGCAGAAAAAATAAAAATTTGTCGTATTTATTCGCAAGTTTTTAGAGAAAAGTAGGATGACAAAAGATTCACAGCTTCCCCAAATTCGAATCTGCCCTTAATTTCTTTCATGAACAAAATTTCGACCTGTTAACACTGTAAATATCTGATTTTGTCACACTTTCAAATGATCTATTGTCTACATGTATGTTAAGATTTCATTCATCGTGGTGACGAGATATCAATTTACACTTGTTCTCTCTTTCTTAAGTTCTAGACCAGCTTCCTTTTTGTGGTCTACAACAGATTCTGTGGTTTCCCTATGTTATTCTTGTTGTCCACCAATAATTTAGCCTCAGCACTAATCAGAAATGAATGCATCGACCACATTTTTAATCCTTACTATTTTCCTAGTGGCGGACTTCAAAGTAAAATTTAAAAGTAGTGACGATAAAACATCTCCTTTTATCACAGTCAACTCCTCTGGAAGATCTGAAATGAAGTATAAAGAATGCCATGTCCTGCATACCAAGATGTGGTCCATTTGATTGCGCGCGCAGGATATTTTCCTTGCTTATACCACGATGATAAGACGCTTGCTAATTAAAATCCACTGTCTTACTCATTATTTGCACTTACGAGTACTGTATTTATGTATACTCCAAGCATTCTGTCATCTTGAGCGAAACGAGAATGCGACGAACACGTGTTACACCACTTCGCTATCTGGAAGCCACAGACGCATCCGGCAGTGTTGCGAGTCAGCAAAAAATCACGCATGCGCATCAAAGTCCCTTCTACCACTACGCTCAGTTTCCCCAACCCCTTTGGCCATTACTTACAGCGGCAAAAAATAAAGTCAGATACTTTTTGGACATACGGTACAAGTAATTGTTCTGGTTTGAAATGTACTGAACACGGTCATTTCTCTGAGGTATTTGAGTTACTGCGCCGTGCAATTTGTAGGTGGTTACCAATGTTCTTCAGAAGGAACCTACAGCCTTCTTATTTCGCCACGTAAACGGAGTCAGCAGTATTATCACGAACTTCAACATCCAGCTTAAGGCAATACAGTCATTATCCACAAGGCTATAATGTTAATTACCTGCTTCTAAAACCTCAGATTTCTTCACGTTAAGATGCATTTCACTTTAAAGGAATATACTATAGCATTTAGGCCAATTTTCAATTGAAAACAGACCACTCTATAACCATTACTGTCCTTTTGTATTATACAATATACTGTATACTATACAATATACTGTATACTATACAATATACAATACTATACAATATACTATACAATACTATATGTATATGTACTATACAATATACTGTATACTATACAATATACAATACTATACAATATACTATACAATACTATATGTATATGTACTATACAATATACTGTATACTATACAATATACAATACTATACTTTTGCATTATACAAAAGATAAGACTCATGATATAGCCACCAATTTTACACCCGTGGATACGATTGAGTTAAATGTACAAGTTGTAAATACAAGAAGATCTATACTCACGATTCGTGTAGCACAGAGTCCAGAGGCCAGACACGGTGTACTTTGACAAGTAATCCCTTTCCCCGGTTCCGTTGTAATTAGGGTTGTTCATTTTCTCCTCGGTGTGAAGCCACTGGTTAGTCGTCATGGCTATACACACGATGACAAGTGAAATGGTGGCAGCGAGTGGGGTTAATATCCACAGACACGTTATAGCCACGTCCAGGTGAGGGTTGTGGGGGTGGTTAGTAGTGGCAGCAGGGGGTGCAGGGGGGCTTGAACCCCGGGGCATAATGCCGGTACACCACTTTATTAGCAGTTATTTTGTTGGAGATGCTTCCTTCTGGAGAAAGCCACCACAAATATAACCACAGGAAACGTCTATTTGTATATGAAAGATTCATGACCCAACATTACCACAGACACTGGCGATTCGCTAATTTTCGTAGTAGTTATTCACTCATTCACAAGAATCCTGAGTTCACAGTTACTTTCTCTAAATTCAGTCACTGACTTCAGATGTGTCTGGATAAGAAGTAATTGGAATGTAGAAACATTGTCAGGTCTACCAACCTGACGACACAGTAGTTAACTATATGTCTTCGTAGGTTCTATCAGTCGAAGACAGTGAGAAAACATTTTTATCCGACACTTCCAAACATTCTGACAGGAACACTTAATGATGTGATATTCTTCACGCGGATTCCACGTACACTTCCATGCTGAACAATTATATTACAGATATGCATCATTCTTCACAATAAAATTCACTTGAGCCAATATTACACACGTATTAACGGAACTTCCATAAATTCTTAAGTGTTTGGTGGGAAGAGCTTCATTAATTTCCGAATGGTTCATGTTATTTATGTAATAATTCAGCGAACGCACATTATCGAATATAAGAACTCGCATGATAATTCAGTACATAAAAATTATCAGACTTCGATAAATGTATTTCCTGTGCCACATAAATTCTTCAAACTGACCCAATGCTTGCACCAGGGCCCAGTAATAATGCACTAGTGCAAAAGTAACATGACACAGAAATCTAAATCACTTCAACCGAACAGATAAATCCAACGTCATTATGATAAATACTGATATGTTTTTTTCAAATATAATTGCTCAAAGTAACTGGACTAGTCTTTGTGGAGCAGTAAGTTCAGGTGAGCATTTATTAATGAGCAGAGTGTGTTCCATATTTCTCCATTAACGTTTAAATTTTACTGAGAATTTCAAATTAGGAACAAGGATAACTGAAGCTTTCAAGAATTGAAGTTATCCACCATGAAAGATAAATTGTCTAACATATTTTTAAAGGTATACATTATTGGTTATGAATATATCTCCGTTTCCTGACGACGCGGAACTCCCATTTCCTCTGTTACGACAGAGTTATGCTCACGTGGCCAGTGGGAACCCAGAATGATTGATCTGGTTTGTGGCCACCTCTGTCTTTGTAACGATAGGACAGCAATGTAAACATTTGTTCGAGATCAAATTGTGGATCATTATGGAGCATGATCGTAGTAAAAGTGCGGGATCTCCGGAGTAGTTCAGGTCCGAAGAAATTCAGTGTCGACGGTGGCACCATCTGGAAAGAGAAAGAAAGGAGCATAAGTGATATTTTGTGATTAAAATTAATGTAAAATAAATCATTACTCAGGTCTGTAACAAATCCGGAGTCCATATAACTAACTGCATAAAGCAGAGGTCGGTTTCAGAAACCGACAGACGATTCCATGCTTAAATAATTTCCCGTCTTTTACGGAGCTCGAAGTTTCTCATGGGTCCTAACAATAGGTTGTACAGTGACAACAAAGATGATGAGACGATCATAAAAAAATAATTCAATTCAACTCTTTATTTATTTATGCACATATTCAACAGCCCAATATTTTTCCGCAATGGCTCTTCCAGACCATTCAGGACCCAGGTCTCTAATTCATTTCCGTATTCATTTTTCACAGAGGGTAGGACTCCTTGCACGAGTGATTAGCCAGTCACGAGACGGCTACCTAAACATAAGACAATACAAACACAACATAAACACATACACAACCCCAAAACATTCATATCTTGAGTGGGATTCGAACCCACGAACCCAGCGTCCTAGAGAGCGAAGACAGTTCATGCCTTAGACCGCGCGGCCACTGGGATCGGCATTCAACAGCTGAAATACCACCTAAAAATTAAGGAGGAGTGAAGACAGACAAAACACACATACACACAAGCAAAGGAGAATACATGGCTAAGATCATCGTTTGACAACCATAAATTTCATTAGTGAAATCACGCCAAACACGATGTTATGATATGAAATGTAATATACATAACTCCTAACTACAACTAATAAGTTAACAAATATAAATGACTCCTTCCAATGTGACCTGTAAGTTTTTTACTACATGAAAACTTAACACCCTTACATGTTTCGGTCTCTGTGGACCATCTTCAGAGGGCAAACATCACTACAAATAGGAAACCACCATCACATAAGTTGTACACAAAATATAACATTTCACAAACACAGCACAAACACAAAAACAGCACAGCAGCCACGAGCAAACCCTGGACGATATAAAGAACCTCCACAACAAGATAGCCAGGTGGCACAATATCTGCCCCATATAAGAGGGACGATGGGAGGACGAACACGAGCCTGCATGGTTTACGAATTTTAATTANAGTTTTCATGTAGTAAAAACTTACAGGTCACATTGGACGGAGTGATTTATGTTTGTACTTGTTAGTGTGACGGACCAGAATGAAACAAATAAAAAAAAGTTAATTTATAATAAGAAGCACAAATTATAAAACATGATCGGGAGAAGGACTTTTCGTACCGAGTACACCAACATACCTACAAAGAACATCAACAGCTGAAGAGACTCTGGCAAAAGGACAAATTTTACAAGGGGATAAGATATTGAACACACAGAGCGTTCTGCTATATGCAGAGCATGATACCGAATACGAAAAGTATCGGAAAGACAATACAGAGCCAAAGTAATGTCTACATTGCACTAAGCTGACAACTTCTTTTATGAATGTCTGTAACTTTAGCTGCACTAAAGCATAATCATGAGTGCATTACACTTGGGGGGAAAGACACTATTAAAATACTTACTTACTTACTTACTCATGGAGCTGATCCATTCTGGAGGAGCCGCCAAAACTGCAGCTACTCAAGAATTTCCCAGCATTTTATGGAACCCGAAAGTTTATTACCGTGGTCACAAGAGCCCTCCACTGGTTCCTATCCTCAGCCAGATCTATCCAATCCATACCATCCAATCCTATCTCTCTAAGATCCATTCTAATATTATCCACCGACCTACGCCTTGGACTTCCCTGTGCTCTCTTTCCTTCTGGCTTTCCCACCAATATCCTATACGCATTCCTCGTCTCCCCCATTCGTGCTACATGACCTGCCCACCTCATTCTCCTTGAATTGATCATTCTAATTATACTTGGAGAAGAGTACAAGTTATGAAGCTCCTCATTATGCAGTTTTCTCCAACCTCCTGTCACTTCATCTCTCTTCAGTCCAAATATTCTCCTCACCAAAGCGTTTAGATACTTATGTGCAGTGCTATACCAGGTAGGGTCTGACATGTTTTACTGGCGGTAGTTTAATTTCCTGTCGGCCTAAGCTGTAGTCTACTAGCTAATCATTAATTACGCAAAGAGCAAGACTAAGGACTTGAGGTTGAATCCGGCAGTACCCGGTCCACCAACTTTCTGTTCCTCGTATTATTAGGGCACTAATATAAACATCAAATAAAAGTAAAAATTCAAAGTTCATAATGGTAAGAAAAGATAAACTTATCCCTGTAACAATCAGTGGAGGCCCATATGTTTGTGAGACGTCGAGGCTTCCACATTTTCTAGACAATCGGCTCACAGATGACGCTAGGGTCTCTAAGGTTGTCAGTCAAATGCGCCTACCGCCCTCTACCTCCGGGAGTCTTCCTGGCACTCATTTCTGTTAGAGGCTGAGTAGAACCCAGGGTCATGGTGCGGCTGGAAAGATTAGGCAAATAGAAAAGAATTCAACGACAACATCGGGAACCGAACCAGCGACCCTCCGGCTTGTAGTATAGTACCACAACCAACTAAGCTTCCGCGTGCCCCGTATCAAGTAGTTACACGTCGCTGATAGGGAATCCAAGTTTTAGAAGCACTTATCGATAGTGAATTGCAGTTTATCGTTCCAGCAGTCTTATATTAATGTCACGTGTACAGAGTGATTCAAAATTAGTGTCAGGGTGTCCTTTTATTGGCCACAGAAACCTCGACAATAATTTACAATCACCCTCTATTACTTGTAGATGTATTGAAACATGTCACAACACGAATTTCATAGGTCAGGTTACAACGAATCATCACTTTTCATCGTCATCGTGACTTAGTCGTGTTAAACACATACGATTTTCTGTGCATGCCATTTACTACATTATCATCATCTGCATCATCATCATTACTGCCCGGTGATTCAGAGTAAAAACGGTATTTATTTTTAGTTAGGTTCTAGTTGCTTGCCAATCCCAGTGGCCGCGGGGTCTAAGAAATGAACCGTCTTCGCTCGCTCCAAAACTGGAATCGTTGGTTCGAATCCCACTCGAGGAATGAATGTCTGTGAGTTTGATCTCTATTTGTGTTGTTCTGTGTGTAGGTAGCAGCCTTGCTACGGGCTGATCACCCATTTAAAGGGTCGAACAAAGACTATATAGATTTTGAAACCAAAGAGCGTTCAAGGTCAACACGGACTGTAGAGCCTTAGATAGATAAATAGATGCGAATTGCTTACGCTTCAAAAAATTACTGGCACACTGTTATTCGAAGGTTATGTTATATTAAGTTTCTTCATGAACCGTCTGTACTCCACAGTGGCGCTCCACGCGGCTACCAAAGAAAGGAAATTGCTTCAGAAACCTGTTCAGAAGTTAGCAAATTCTTCTTTCGTCGTCTGTTTCCCTTTCCGCTGAACTTAGTTTTCTACAGAACTGTGTTTCAGCCGCTATTAATAAGACTTCGCTGGAAGAAAGTCCACCATATTTCAGGAAATAATGAACCTAACTTGAAAGCCAATCATATAATACTGCGTGCCCGCACTGATAAACCTGAGCTGCAATTAGAAGAAACAATTTCAGATGTTGGTGTTGATCATATTTCATGCCTCTGGAGGTTTCGCGGTCGTTTCCTTGACCTCCAGAATGTGTTTTATTAAAATGATTAATGCAAAAATTTATGAAAATTAAGTATGTACTTATTGTCGTCACAGCATCTGTGCTTTTGTTAAAGTGGAAAGGATGGTAACATAAATATAAATGTATAATAAATTTTGTCTTTGTGAAGCGGATCGTTTTTGTATTTATTCTGATCCACTATCAGTATTAATTTCGAAAACAGAGGACTGTGAATAAAGGATGCTTAGCAATGCACAATATAGACACACACAGCCGGTGACGGTAGCCGAGCGG